CATGCAACGGGTACAGGACCAGCGACAGATGCCAGCACTGGTCAAAAGCAGTTGCACAGAGGCACTCCTAGTTGTGCTTAAGTGTTTAAGTGCGCAGACGAAATCAATCCAGTTGAAGAAGACAGGGGGAAAAAGACTCGCACTATTGAACCTGGCCTGGCTTGTCCAACATGTGAGAGCATAAATGTTCAGGTTGCGAGGTCCCGGGGTTGGGACTTGATTCTGGCTCAGGTGATCTCAGGTGTGAAGCTGCAGGTTCCAAAGTTTGGGGCAAGGGATTGATGGCAAGAAGGACCAGAACACAAAGAGGCTATAGCCCGCAGTAGTTATGCAGCTGGAGCGGAGCAGAGCAGCAGTGCTGGTCGTCATGACAGTGTTCGCCATCGTCGCGGTATGTCGCGGTATTGGAGAAGCATCCTAACGCTCGGCTGCTCCCCAAAGCTTGGAGACACCCGAAGCCAGCAAGTTCTAACGCGTGCCATGAGTTTTAGATGCTGCTCAGAGCCTGGCGCAATTCATTGCGAGGAGACGATAGAGTTTCCGATAGAGTCGAAATTCCTTCAAGTTTCACTGTGAACCGAAGCGGCACTACATTGAACCCTGCAAATCAAGCAGTCGTAGGACCTGGAACCCAAGGCATAAGTGTCAAGCCAAGTGCACTGCTGCACCAGAAAGCACTATCCTTACTGGGACCTCAGGACGTGGCTTCGCAGCTACCCAGTCAGGAGCTTTGTATCCTCAGTCACCTTAGGTCAGGTCGTTTAGAAGCTTTGGCTAGAAGTAGATGAGGTGTTGTTTGCGGGTCCATCTCCACATGCCTGAGGGTTGAGATGTATGCATGCTATACTCGCTACTTCCATGGAGGGCCCGAGGCTTTGACCAAAAGACTAAAATTTGCGACGACAATGACACCCACCATGGCGACGACAAGAGACGACCACTGCTAGTACCAGCACTACGAACCGACTGCCCGTTGTTGCTCTATCTTGGCATTAGCTAAATGCACCCCCCAATACGACGAGGAATGCTACATAGCCGAAGAACCACTTGCTTAGACCGATGTAGAACTTGAAGCGATGCCGTGCTGACAGAAGCACTCGCGTCATCATCAGAGCATCATCATGCAAGCTTTAGCTTGAGGATGTTGCAAGGGTTTTCCGAATCCTGAAGGTGTTGCTTTGACCGATCCCCAACGTGTTGTAGCTGGATTGGCTCTGAATGCTCAAGACCCTCCCGAAGATTCAAGCATTCGGGGTTTCGGTAAGTTAAAGCCAAGACCCCGACTTCCACCCTGAAACTCAGGGTAGAAAGCAGAGGCTAGAACCTGCGGAATGCTTGGCTGTGCGGCTTCAGGTCCTGCCAAGTAGGGTACACACCCAAAAATGCGCCACCCTGATCAGCTTTGCCTGAGCGGGAGAGGTCGTAACAAACTCCACCCCCCCGGAGATTGTTTTGTCGAGAGTCTCTTGGGGATGGTCCACGGGCTCGGGGTGGCAATCAACAATATCTGGCCGGGTCCGGGGTCCGTAGTACTCTGGTAATTCGGTGGGATGTCTGAGGAACTGCACTCTGCCAGCTGGGCTTAGGGTCTAGGCTTCTCCTTCCTTTATTAATAATACAACAAGCTTTTCCTCAAGCCAGGTCCTAAATTGTTTTGGGGATATGCGGCCCCGAGGTCCCAACACCAACTGTTTGACCGGATCTGGTCGGATGTGGGTGCGTGGTCCAAAGTAATCTTCCGCCGGGAAAATCTGGGCCAGGGAATATTTTAATTGTCAGCCTGTTTATTGGTGTCACCCTATAACATAAAGTCTCAGCCAACGCCCTAAACACAAAGATTGTTGTGAAGCCTTGCCCACCTGGTGCATGTCGTGAAAGTCAACGCAACAAGTCTCAAATAGAATGTGTGGTGTGTATGTCGTATTACATACATACATACATACATACATACATACGTACATACAGTCATACAGTCTTCGGTAGCACATAATATGAGGTGATCCGATCTGGTCTCGCGCCATCGCCGGGGCCTTTGGGGAGGGCGAGGTGGCCTTGGCTCAAAGGCTCAACTCAATACAGCAATACAGAGTAAAGAAAACTTGCATCTATTGAGACTAGATGGTGGGTGACATGTCCGATTTGCCTCTCGCAAACGCTTGGGTTGGGATTGCTGGGCTGCCCTACCGCTGAGGATCTCATTTTCTGCTTCATCTTCGTGTTGGAGCTGGCATTGCGTGTGTCTGCATTTGGCAAGACCTTCCTGAACAT